AAAATGTTTTCTTGTTACTCTCTTATCTTTAATTATCAGGGACAGTATTAACTAAAAACACACCACTCTTTTCTATAAATTGTTGCCTGAAGCGTCTATTCATCATATAGAACTGCTAATATATCTTACACAGTCTAAAAACTAAAATGATACCCATTATTTTCAAAAGAAATCTATTTCATCTAAATTACTGTCTTATTCTTATTAATAGTGATGGTGTGCTCAAATAAATTACTTATTTTTTTAGATAAAAAATGAAATAGTTACGGTTTTTCTATGTGCAATAATTATTAATAGTGTTCATGTTCATGAGAATAATTTAACATGATTTCTTGTTTTTTTTTAGATTTAAAATGTCGACACCTTCTCGATTACGTTTAATGCGTGATTTCAAACAGTAAGTGTAACAAAACATATGTTTATTTTTATTACTTTTATCTATCAATCTTTAGACTACAAAAAGATCCTCCAGCTGGTGTTACCGGCGTGCCAGCTGATGATAACATTCTTCTTTGGCATGCATTTATATTAGGGTAAATATTATTATTTTATTGTAAACTATAAATTTATAAATAATTCTCTACTATTTAGACCTCACGATACGCCATTTGAAGATGGTACATTTCGGTTATTATTAGGTATATACTCTAATGACTCATCTGGAGTTGCTCAATGTATAATTTTATGTTATCATAATTTAGAATTTACAGAATTTTATCCAAATAAACCACCAGTTGTCAAATTTACATCAACAATGTTTCATCCAAAGTAAGTAGAAGAACAACAAGAAAATGACAAAGTAATGTTAGCTTATATTGATTAATAGTGTATATGCTGATGGAGGAATTTGTTTGGATATTTTACAAAATCGATGGTCACCTACATATGATGTATCAGCCATTTTAACATCGATACAGGTATTTTTTAGTCAAAATGACTTTACTAATATGAATATAATTGTCTATTTTCTATTTAATTCTATTTTAGTCATTGCTTGATGAACCAAATCCAAATTCACCAGCAAATAGTGAAGCAGCCAATCTTTATCAAACAAATCGTCGAGAATATGAACGCCGTGTCAAATTAATTGTCGAACAAAGTTGGGTAGCTGAACATACACTAGCGAGTTCAAAAGTACCAGATTGAATAGAAATTTTATGTTTTATCATCTGTTTGTATATAGTTTATTATGTTTTTTCACATTTGATCAGAAAAAGTACTGCAGAAAAATGTGTTTTGTTTTAACTTTATTTGCTTGTACTCGAGTTTAAATAAAAGTATATGTATATACAGTACGCTGCAAAAGTATTTTCACTCCAGTCAGCACCCTAATATCCTCTGACTTGAAATTTTTTGTGATTATAGAGGCTTATCATCCAAGAAAGGTGGAGCTCATTTGAGAACATGATTTCCAATGATATCTCATTCGTATAATTTCTTTCACTGTATTGAAAAGAATTTCTCTCATAGTAATGAAACACTGAAGAACAACATAACCAATGATAGAAATTTTTGATATTTAGTCTTATTGCTTAAAAATACTATAGCTATTGGACAAGAGGCAGTTATTTTCAGAAGACAAGGCATATCTCGTTCAAAAAACATT